TATAATAATTTGAAACCTCAAACCTAAGCAGATTCAAGCCAAAACGTGGCATACTGCTAAGTTCTCCTCACTAAAGTGTTTTCTCCTGGAAAACTCTCCCTGCCATTAGGTTAGTACCCTCATTGGTATCAAACTCAGTGGATCTCCGATTTGACTTCGCTACCTCCCTTCTGTTTGTCCAAGTTGTGCTGGTCTTGGGAATTTTGGCTTTAAAAAAAATTCATGTAACTAGTCATTGTTCTGTCAGAATTTTCTGTAAATACATTTCTATTGTTAACCTGCCATCCTGAGTCCCACTTTTGGGTCTCTTACCTTCCTTGACCCTCCCCTCTCTACCATCAGACACAAGCTTCCTTGAAAGCACTCTGGTTTGTTTTTTCTGTGCAGAACAGCTTGTGGCTGTTCAAATAGGCCTTGCTGTGAAGAACTTGACTTCATGTTTTTTTTTTTTAATTCAAGCATCTTGGTTTTTTTTTTTTTTTTTTAAAGATTGGCACCTGAGCCAACGTCTGTTGCCAATCTTTTTTTCTCTTTCTTCTCCACAAAGCCCCCCAGTACATAGCTGTATGTTTTAGTTGTGGGTCCTTCTAGTTGTGGCATGTGGGACGCCGCCTCAGTGTGGCCTGACGAGCGGTGCCATGTCCGCGCCCAGGATCCGAACCTGTGAAACCTTGGACTGCTGAAGCTTAGTGTGTGAACTTAACCACTTGGCCACTGGGCTGGTTCCCCCTCCCGCCTTTTTTTTTTTTGCAGGGAAAGATTCACCCTGAGCTGACATCTGCTGCAAGTCTTCCTCTCTCTCTCTTTTTTTTCCTCCCCAAATTCTCAGTGCATGGTTGTATATCCCAGTGGTAAGTCATTTCTAATTCTTCTATGTGAGCCACTGCTACAGCATGGCAACTGACTGACAGGTGGTGTGGTTCTGCAACTGGGCTGCTGAAGTGGTGAGCACTGAACTTTAACTACTAGGCCATCAGGGCTGGCTTGTAGTGAATCTTTTTTTCCTTTTTGGTGAGGAAGATGGGCCCTGAGCTAACATCTGTTGCCAGTCTTCCTCTTTTTGCTTGGGGAAGATTGTCGCTGAACTAACATATTTTATGTGGGACACTGCCACAGTGTGGCTTGATGAGTGGTGTGTAGGTCCTGGCCTGGGATCTGAACCCTTGAACTCTGGGAGTGTGTGAACTTAACCACTATACCACCAGGCTGGCCTCAGTCATGAATCATTTTTTAGGTGTCACTGATTTTTCTCATCTGAATTCTTTAAAAGATCTTGTAACATGCAGTATAATATATGCTATATGCTTTTCATCAAGAAACAGTTTTTGAATTCCTGCTACTAAGCGGGTAAAACTTTTTGAGTGCCTGATACAAAGAGGTAAAAGTTAAGGTTGTTTTCTCACGGAGTTTTTTGCTGGGGTGAATAGGGCCTAGGCATAAGCTGTTAAATAGCAGTGTGAAATTCTCCTTTGAAACACTGTTGCCTGGCCTGGAGACTGCCGTCTGCTGGTTTAGTTCTCACTCTTCTTCATCTCTAAGGCAGCCTTCCTGCTTGAATTTGTCTCTGGGGAGTAGGATTTATGAAAAGAGACAGTTTGGGCAACATAGCAGAAATAGCAAGTAGCCATGATGATTATGGGTCTCCCTCGAGGGCTCAGGGAAACGACACGTGTTAGGCTTTTAGGTGTAGGGGACAGAACCGTGCTAAGGAGTTGGCAGGCGATGGACTCAGTTATCGTGGGCCCTGAGGAGGCAGCCTCAGGCTGATGGGCAGATGACATACTATTCTGGGACAGGATTTCAACCTGTACCCAGTGCTCCTGACTCCACTTCTCTGCTTCTCTCTTTGGCTGTTTTTCTTCCTTTGTTACTAGTGAACCAAGGTCTCACACTCAGATGGTTTCTGGTTGATCACTATCCTGGAGCTTTCACATAGAGGTTTTTGTGTGAGCATGTGCTTTCATTTCTCTTGGGTAAATGCCTGGGAATGAGGTTGCTCAGTTGCATGTGGTAAATAAGTATATATTTATCTTTATAACAAACTGCCAAACTTTTCCAAAGGGGCTGTAGCATTTGCTTTCTCACCAATGCTATGAGAGGTCTGGCTGCTCTGCAGCATTGGCAGACTTGATATTGTCAGGGTTATTGTGCTTATGGACCTACCTGTTTATTTCCACTTGACTAGGTTTGTGGTGGCATATTCTCTGGTTTTAATTTGCCTTTCCCTAGCGACTGGTGATGTTGAGCATCTTTTCACGTGTTTCTGTGGCATCTGGATACCTTCTTTGGTAAAGTGTTCAAATCTTTTTCCCGTTTTCTAAAAATTGAGTCATCTGTTTTCTTCCTGAAACGTGGAACATGTTTACAACATGTATTCTGGATACAAGTCCTTTATTAGGTATGTGGTTTGCAAATCTTGTCTCCTAGCCTGTGGCTTCTCTTTTTATTTTTTAAACAGTGTCTTTCAAAGAGCAGAAGCTTTCTTACTTGGATGAAGTCCAGTTTATCTTTTTTTTCTTTTATGGATCATATTTATGGTGTCATATTTAAGAAATCTTTCCCTAATCCAAATATCTATTCAACACTAACAGATAGTAACATGCAATTGTTAGTAAATTCTGTCGGGTCTTTCATTGAGTGTAATTTTCATTGAGTATCTGGTTTCTCAATATAATATTTTGAGTATAAGACACACTGTTTTTTTAAATGAACCACTAATAAAACTAAAAGAATATTTCACTTAAAGGGCTGGCCCCGTGGCCGAGTGGTTAAGTTCACATGCTCTGCTTTGGCAGTCCAGGGTTTGCCGGTTCGGATCCTGGGCCTGGACCTTCACACCGCTCATCAAGCCATGCTGTGGTGGTGTCCCACATAGAAGAACTAGAAGGACTTACAACTAGGATATACAACTATGTCCTGGGGCTTTGGGGAGAAGAAAAAGAGGAAGATTGGCAACAGATGTTAGCTCATGGCTAATCTTCCTCACCAAAAAGAAAAAAAGCCAAAAAGGTAGTTTTGGGAGGTGACTCCTGGAGCTGCAGTTCTCCTTTAAAAAGAACATTTCATTTAAACTGTGTTGCGCCATTGATCCATCAGTTGTAAGGTGTAGCCAGATTTTGGAGATACTAAAATATGAAAAAAAATGTATCTTAGAATCATTGAAATACGTTATTTTTTTAGTCTGGTTGGCTGCTGCCCTCACTTTATTATAGATCCTACTAGAAATGCTAGAACCTGGGGTTTTGTTAATTGCTGAGAAGGCAGTAGTATGTTGCTGAATGTGTTTGGGTGATTTCTCTGACCTATGACCCATGAGGGAAAACTGCATGAATAGGAGAGAGAGGATGACAGAATGTACAGAACTGGAATCTGTGTGTATGTGTGTCTGAGAGGGTGATCATGAGAGCACATATTTAGGAGGGATGGGAGTTGACCTGTGGCCACTGTGATAGCAAGAAGCAGTGTCGCAGAGTGAGGAGACCTCTGCCACCGCCAACAGAGGGAGCTTGAAGGAAGCCTCTCGTTGTTTAGGTCTTACTTTCCTCCCTGTGAGCCTAGGGCCGGGTGTTCTGTGGCTCACCAGCCCTGGGACCTGGAGACTCACGAGACCAAAGACTTCGCCACTCAGAGCATCACCACCCATCAGGTCTTACTGGCTGCTGGGGCAGAGTGCGCTCCTGAGTTGCCCAGCTGTTGTACACAAAGAAGTCTGTTCTTAGCCCAGGGTTGTTGAATTCCCCCATATTTGCCTTGAAGAGAACTCGAGCATCATTAGTGCAGTGTTCTGTGGCCTGAAACTTACCTCAGAATTATTCCTAGTGAGTTTAGGCACATCCCTCTTTCTTTACTGTTTGTCACATAGTTTACTAGATACTTGCATGTGCTGTCCATTTGGCTCCTACGTTCTCTAGGGATGGAGGAAATGAAAGACAGTAATGATGGGTTTAACAATTTGCAAGTTAGGTTATTTGTGGATAAGTTCCAGAGGTTGTAGAATTTGGATTAAAAACAATATTAGAACTAAGAGAAATAGGATGAGAAGGGGAGACAATAAGTTTCTCTTGCAGAGAATTAAGTGAGTTTATTTTAATTCAAAGCATAGGACTGAGTATGAGCACATCTCAGAGATACTGTGGGTTCACTTCCAGACCACCTCAATAAAGTGCATATTGCAATAAAGCAAGTCACATGAATCTTTTGGTTTCCCAGTGCATATAAAAGTTATGCTTACACTATACTGTAGTCTGTTAAGTGTGCAGTAGCATTATGTCTAAAAAAACTACATACCTTAAGTAAGCCATACTTTGTGGCCAAAAAATGCTGACCGTCATCTGAGCCTTCAGTGAGTCATGTTGAAACATTTCAAACAGTGTGAGAGTCACCAGATGTGACACAGACACGAAGTGAACAAATGCTGTTGGAGACGTGGCACTGGCAGAGCTGCTTGCTGCAGCGTTGTCATAGACTTCCAGTGTGTAAAACGCGGTATCTGGGAGGTGCAGCAGCACAAGGAAATGAGGTCTGGCTGTAATGAGATTCGTGGTTTCAGTGGATGGCTTGGAATGGGTTAGCAAACTGTGTTGTGGGCCATATCCTGTGTTTGTGCGGCGTACGAGCTAAGAAGAGTCATTCCATTTTTAAATGATTGAGAAGAATTCTGTTGTGTGACATGTGAAAACTGTATGAAGTTTGAGTTGATGTCTGCTGGGTTGCTGGCACAGAGCCACGTGCACAGATGCACATGTCATCAGGTGCTGGGGTCACCGCAGCAGCACTGAGGAGTTGCACAGGCTGCATTGGGTGGCCCACAGAGCCTGACAGGCTCACCCTGGCCTTTAAGGAAAAGCTTGCACTGGCTTAGAAAAAACACTGTTCCCTGAGGTGATAGTGGTAAGCTCCCTGGGGCCTTAGAAGAGAAGAGTCGCCCGTTTGTGAACCACAGGAGGCGCAGTACCTGATGGTTGTATTAAACTGTGCTCGACTTTCTTTTCTCTTAACAGAGATATCGGACAAAGCCATACTGTTGCAGCCTCTGTAGATACTCCACAAAAGTGCTTACTTCATTCAAAAACCACCTGCATCGCTACCATGAAGACGAAATTGACCAGGAGCTGGTGATCCCTTGCCCAAACTGTGTCTTCTCCTCTCAACCCAAAGTTGTGGGGAGACACTTCAGAATGTTTCATGCACCTGTTCGGAAAGTCCAGAACTACACAGTGAATATTTTAGGTGAAACTAAATCATCTAGGAGTGATGTGATAAGTTTTACATGTTTAAAATGTAACTTTTCAAACACTTTGTACTACAGCATGAAGAAGCATGTGCTGGTAGCCCATTTTCACTACTTAATTAACTCCTACTTTGGCCTGCGAACTGAGGAAATGGGCGAGCAACCGAAAACCGAAGATACCCTTTCTACTGAGAAGATGCCACCATCTGACAAGTATTACTGTAAAAAATGCAATGCCAATGCCAGCAGCCAGGACGCGCTGATGTATCACATTCTCACATCGGATATACACAGGGACTTGGAGAATAAGCTTAGGTCCGTGATTTCAGAACATATTAAGAAGCCTGGACTTTTGAAGCAAATGCATATTGCTCCCAAACCAGCTGCACATGTGGCCATGCCACCGCACACCAATGCTCCGGGCCTCCCAGCTACACCCCCTTGCTTTCACCTTGCCTTGCCACAGAACAGTCAGAGCCAAACCGTAGTCCAGCCAGTTCAGGGCACAGTGCAGCCCGTGACTGTGGCCTCAGCTGCGTCTGGAAGTGTCACCCATTCTCCGCCTGCCGTTGCCCAGTCCCGAGTGACTCTAGTCTCCAGCCCTCTGCCCGTGGGCCAGAGCAGCCTCACTCTGCCGCCCGCAGCTCCCCAGCCTGTCTTTCTTTCTCATGGAGTCCCACTTAATCAGTCAGCAAATCCTCCTGTGTTGCCCTTGAGTCAGCCAGTTGGACCTATAAATAAGTCTGTTGGAACTGGTGTCCTCCCGATAAACCAGACCATCCGCCCAGGGGTTTTACCCCTCAACCAGCCTGTTGGGCCTATTAGCAGACCAGTTGGGCCTGGAGTTCTTTCAGTAAACAGACCTGTTGGGTCTGGTGTCCTTCCTGTCAGTCCCTCTGTCACCCCTGGGGTTCTTCAGGCCGTCTCACCAGGGGTGATTTCTGTGAGTCGGACAGTCCCGTCAGGGGTCCTTCCTGCAGGCCAGATGACCCCTGCTGGGGTTATCCCTTCGGGACAGACAGCAACTTCTGGGGTTCTCCCTGCGGGCCAGATGGTGCAGTCAGGGGTTCTCCCCATTGGCCAGACGGCCCCATCGGGGATTCTCCCCACGGGGCTGACAGTCCCTTCACGGGTTCTCCCTCCTGGCCAGACGGTCCCCCTGAGGGTTCTCCCTGCAGGCCAGGTGGTCCCACCTGGGCTCCTTTCTCCCAACCACACAGTCTCGTCAGGTGTTCTCCCTGTGAACCAGGGTATTAATTCTGGTGTTCTTCAGCTCAGTCAGCCTGTGATGTCAGGAGTTCTTCCTATGGGCCAGCCAGTGAGGCCTGGGGTCTTGCAACTTAATCAGTCTGTGAATACCAAAATTCTGCCTGCAAATCAGTCAGTTAGACCCGGTGCTTCGCAAAACACCACTTTCCTCACGTCAGGCTCCATTCTCAGACAGCTGATACCTACAGGGAAACAAGTGAATGGGATTCCCACATACACCCTTGCCCCGGTGTCTGTCACTTTGCCCGTGCCACCTGGAGGTGTTGCGACCGTTGCCCCTCCCCAGATGCCCATCCAGCTCCTGCAGTCAGGCGCAGCTGCACATATGGGCAGTTCCGTGGCCAGCATGCCCTCCTCTCCAGTGGTAGTGAATACCACTCAGAATATGTTTGTTCAGGCCTCCTCATCTGTGGCAGAGGGGAGTCAGGCGCTCAAACAGGCAAAGCAATGGAAAACCTGCCCGGTTTGCAACGAGCTCTTCCCTTCCAACGTCTACCAGGTACACATGGAGGTGGCTCATAAGCACAGTGAATCCAAATCTGCTGAAAAGCTGGAGCCTGAAAAACTGGCAGCATGTGCACCGTTTTTAAAGTGGATGAGAGAGAAAACAGTTCGGTGTCTCTCTTGTAAATGCTTGGTATCGGAGGATGAGCTTATCCATCACTTACTCATGCACGGCCTGGGGTGCTTGTTCTGTCCGTGCACTTTCCATGATATTAAAGGTCTTTCAGAGCATAGTCGGACTATGCACCTAGGGAAGAAGAAATTACCCGTGGATTATAGTAACAAAGGCTTTCAATTGGATATTGATGCTAATGGCAACCTGCTGTTTCCCCATCTTGACTTCATTACCATACTGCCAAAGGAAGAGCTGGGGGAGCGGGAAGTCTACTTGGCAATACTAGCTGGGATACACTCCAAGTCGCTTGTCCCAGTGTATATTAAAGTGAGGCCTCAGACCGAGGGTGCGCCTGGGAGCCCCACCAAACAAGCCTTGACCTGCCCCTTCTGCTTTGGCACCTTTGTGACGACTGAGGCGTATGAGCTGCATTTGAAGGAGAGACACCACATCATGCCCACAGTCCACACGATCCTGAAGTCTCCGGCCTTCAAGTGCATCCACTGCTGTGGGGTTTACACTGGCAACATGACCCTGGCCGCCATCGCCATTCATCTGCTGCGCTGCCGGAGCGCTCCCAAGGACAGCAGCTCAGACCTTCAAGTCCAGCCTGACTTCATTGAGAACGGCGAACTGCTGCTGGTCAACGGCGAGGTGCTACACGACTCCAGTTTTTCTGTAAAGAGAAAGCTGCCTGAGGGCCACTTTGGGGCAGAAGACCAGAGGGATGGGGACGAGCGACCTGTCGTCATCCATGCTGATGCAGCCCCCTCTGCAGAAAAGGTGACGAGCGTCGTGCCTTTCAAAAGACAAAGGAATGAAAGCAGGACTGAGGGACCCCTTGTTAATGATGACGCTCTTCAAATTTTAGCATTAAATCCTAAAAAATATGAAGACCGTTCTTATGAAGAAAAAAAGCAGTTCCTTAGAGATTATTTCCACAAGAGACCGTATCCTAGTAAAAAGGAAATAGAACTGTTATCCTCACTCTTATGGGTGTGGAAAATTGATGTGGCTTCATTTTTTGGAAAAAGAAGATACATTTGCATGAAAGCAATAAAAAATCACAAGCCTTCTGTACTTTTAGGCTTTGATATGTCTGAACTTAAAAATGTTAAACACAGATTGAACTTTGAGTATGAACCACAAAACTTGTAAAAAATAATTAGGAAATCTAAAGTACTAGATAATTAGTAGTTTTTCCAATTGAGATTTTAAAAAATGTTATTTTCTTCACTGTATGTTGAACTAATCAATTTCAGTGGTCTTTATGCTGCTCTTTAGATTTATTTCAGGTGCTCAGAAAGACTTCTATATATAGAAGTGAATAGTTCTTTGAAATTTATTGTTTCCTGAAGTTTGATTTTGTAACAATTATTTTTAGTTTTTTCCTCTGTCATGTAAATTAAATCTTTTGATATTTCCTGCACGCCTTGTTTTCCTAGTAGTGTCAGTATTGGATGATTAAAACTGAAATCTACATGTTTGTTTTTTCATTTAAGGAAGTTTCAGCTTGTTTGAGATTACTTGATTAACTGCGACTTAAAGCATTGGTCTCAGTTAGCTTCTCATGCAGCAGCAGTTGATACAGTAAATGTGTGTAGAGAAGTGAGTACCAGCCCCCGTGATGTGTATGGTTCCTTAAGGATGCACTGCGTTAACTTATGCTGATTTCTTCTTTGTGAGGTATTTGTTTATTAGATTATAATTTTGATTTACATTTTTTCAGGTATATCCTAACAGCTGTTTTTGATTATAACTCATAGGAAACCAAACATTTTCATTTAAAAAAAATTACTGAACCTGAAATCTGCTATTTAGCTCATAAGTCAAAAAGTTATTTTACAAATAAAGTAATTCTGTAGGTGCAGAAGTACTTTTCAGTGTAGACTTTCCCCTCTTTTTGATATGGTGATAGTCATTTTTCCATTCAAAGGTAAAACCATAAGTCTTAGTGCCTTTAGAATAAACACTGAAAACACACACACCAACTCTCCTCCTCACCTGACTGTCCATAAGCCAGTGAAAGGGAAGGGCCGTGTTCCTCAGGAATGAAGTTTTTACACCTGAGTGTGGACACTCACTGAAATGTAAGCTAGGTTTTCAGGGGACAAGGTGGAGTGACAAGTCCCCATGGCTGGCATATGAAATCTCGGATGGTTTCCTAGAGGGAAATGAATTTGTTTTGGAGAAATGGGCTTTTCCATAGTTCAGTTGTCCAGGTTAATGGGCCAGGATATTGCTAAAGAACGCCTTTGTATTACTCTCCTTTGGACAGTTAAACCTCGGTTGTTTTCACACAATATAAAATAACTTAAAGCACCAGAACAGGAATGGAGGCCAGCCCCTGTAGACCGGAAGTCAGGCTGCTGGTGACACACAGCAGAGGCGCCTGTCCAACGTATTCAGAGGATGTGACCGTCTCTGGGAAATAGATAACGTTGCTATATGGATTATAAAAAAATACAATACTCGCATGTAATTGCTATAATGTGCATTTTTGAGGCAGTTGTGAAACTGGTCTGTGATTGTTGGTGTACTCTGTTGTAAATTCAGAAAGAGCTTGTTGAAGTTTATTTTTTTTTTACCTATTGTTTTCAGAGTGTCTATTTTGAATTAAAATTTGTTATATTACTGCAAATACAACTGTTTAATTTTTTTGACAGTTAAAATGTCTCTGTGACTCAGGAATAATCTAAACAAGGATACAGATACCACATTTATTTTCTGAAGAACATTACTTGTCATTGTGAAAATAAGTCGGCATAATCCAAAAGGACTAATTAATTACCAGTGTCACAAAACAGATGTGGCTGGAGATGCTTGACGTGTCAGAAGAGGATGCTGGGGAGCCGGGAGCTTGCCTTGGTGGAGGCTGCTCGCCAGTGCTCGTGCCCGTGCGGGGAGGCCAGCTTTAGAGGTGCCGACAGGGACAGTCTGCTGTTTGCGTGGTTTCATCCCCCTTTAGTTCACATCAGTCAGGTTTCTGTTGGCGTTTTGAGCCTGATCATTCTTTGTTGGGGGTGACTGTCCTGTCCATTGTAGGAGCAGAACAGCATTCCTGGCCTCCACCCACTCCAGGTCAGTAGTATCTCTGCCCCCACTCCCCCAGGTGTGACAACCAAAAATGTCATTGCCAAGTGTTCCCTGGGGGGCACAGCCCTGACTAGACCCACTGTGTTAAAGGAATTCTGATTTTGAATTATATTTTAGTTGTCTTTCAGCTTGTGATGCTGAGTTTTTGTATGTTATGTTAGTTTACTGGTTATTAATTTTTTAGGTTCACAGATCAAAATTTGATATAAGCCGAGCTTCAAAAGCACATGTGGGAGTTCTTGCAAATATAGAAAATGAGTAAATTTATTATTTGAAAATAAAAAGCTAAACCATAGATGAATAGTTTAGTGGTGGGGGCTTTTTAAACTGATGTCTAAAAGATGATTAGAAATTGAGAGAGATGGAGGCAGTTCTTTTTTTATATGATGGTTACAAAACGTATATTTTAAAAATTTTTTTAGCAATGTAGCTTCAACTTTAAAAATGTTACGTATTTGAAGTCTAATTGAAATTTCAGTTAAAAACAAAATGTATTGTACTATTTTAGCTTCTTGAATTCTGTTACCCTTCTGTTTGGCAAATAGAAACCACATTTCATTTGTTGCAGCGAATAATAAATGACAGGCAATAATTCAAGAGGGGCCCCAAAACTTTTCATCCACAAAATAACAAAAATGAGAAGCCCCTTCACTACCCAAGCCTTTGTTAACTTTTTCTTTTGATTGCACTTCTCCCACCCGCATCGTGCTGTTTCCACAGTGGAACTCTGACTTCAGATCTTACACGACTTGGGAGCCAGTCTGTCAGCTTGCCTTAACAGAATGGAGGTCTCTAACTTAGTTGAGGGACCTGGACAAGCTGTCTTTGATTTCAGCCTCGTCCTAAGGCCCAGGAATGTTTTCTTTAAAATCTGCAGGTGAGTGAGGTGGAAAGGGCAGAGACAGGAGACGGCAGCCAGCAAAGTGTGGCCCCACAGCACTAAGGACAGCAGCCTCCCGAGTGTGAATCCCACACAGCGCGGGAGGATGCCTTCAGTTACTTCTGTAATGTGGCCACAGGGCAGACGTCTGGATGGCAGACGTCACCATGATGAAGGCATGGAGACCCGGGCAGGCGTGAAGCCAGGCAGACAGAAGCGGAGATGCCCATGTTCAAGGATGGTGTGCTGGATACAGAAGCAGCATTGGCACCACAGTCGAAGATGTGGCCCAAGAGCGTGAGGCTGGCATGGCATAGATGGTGTCAGTGCTGACAGGCGGGTGCTCTTCAAATCAGCCTACCAGGTTCACCATCCCTTCCTCCTTCACCTCCATCAAGATCAAACAAAACAGCCAGTCAGTGAAGGACCCTCGCTGGTCCACATACCACTAGATAGCCACAACAGCACAGACGGCACAGCTGCCATATCACCACCCTGGACTGGTATTTGTGGGCACAGATGTTTTTCTGGAGCTCTTCCGGGAACCACTGGTGCATGTAGTTAGCAGGAAAGGGCTGTGGCTCCTGCAACGCCTTCTGCCACCTTTTCGGTGTTGGGCACACACTATCCTTTCGTTCCATCTCCCTTGCTTTCAGAGCTAGCAACCCAGGCTTGGCCTGCAGTGGGTGAGCGTTCTCTGCAGCAGCAGTCACGTTCCTGCCACGAGCCCCAGGGGTGCACGGCGGGGCGGGGTGTCCCCCTCCTGTTAACTCTGTTAACCTGATGATGATTGCGCAGTTCTGTATTTCTTAACAGTTTGCTGAACAAAGCAACAGATAACGCTGACTAAGGAAAGAAAAGAAGAAAACAGCCCCAAAACGCTAACCTAGTTTTTACATTAGTTTTTAGGCAAGCCGTCCTAGTAAATAATAAACATTGATCAACTGTTTACTATTGCTAGGAAATAGGCTGAGTAGTAATAATAATGTCCTATGTATTCCTTACTGTGATCTCTGCACTGTTAGAAGAGTGATGATAACATTTTAACGTTCACAACAATCCTACAAAGTAAATGGTAGTATCCCATTTTACATATTAGGAAACTGAGGCACGGAGAGGTTAAATAAACTGTCCAAGGTAGGGAGCTACAGGGTGGAGAGAGCTGGGATGACAACTGGGTTGAAGCCCGGCTTCATGCTCTTAGTTGATGTATCGCCTCTATTCATGTAATACCCCACTTTGACCCATAATAACCATATGGTGTAAGTCTTAACTGCATTTTACAGATGAAGAAGAGAGTCCCTGCTGAACTTCCATCAATTAAGGAGTAAAAACTCCAGCCATGATATGCAGCGAGGAGACTTTTTAGCTTTAAAAACTGAAGCCAAATTCCATTCTCTCACCGGTTACTATAATTTTAATGTTCTGAAATCAATTCCCTTTCCCTGGTGGCGAGAGCCTGTTTCTAGCCCTCCTGCCTTCCTCGGTGGAAAGCTGCTCTTCGAGGCACACTTGCTGACGTACACTTCTGGAAGATAGGCAGTTGTTAAATCTCAGCTTTAGAATTTTTCTCATTTTTGATACTTTGTCCGAATTACTACTTAATCTTTAAAGTTATAAGTTTGAAAATAATTTTAGCAATAAAGACATTATATCGGGAAACTTTCACAGTCCGTGCAGTGAATGCACCATAAGAACATGCTGCTTAGAGCAGTACCCCGTCGTCACTTCTTTCAGATTCTAGGCTCAGGAGTTTCTTAATTTGTGATCCATGAGCCATCGGAGTAAAAAGTGTAAATGTCCACGAAAGCTAAAGTCTAGATTACATTCTCAGACTTTTCAGAATATGCAGCCAGAGTGAGACTTTACCTGTACCGTCAGCCTCGAAGACCTGTGATAATGAGCCATGAAAACAGCCTAAACTGTGTGCTTGTTTGGGGTCTGCTGTCTGGGAGGGACAGCCTATAGGATAGAGTAAAATAAAAATAAAACTCGGTTGTATCTCACAGGGATCTTTAAGTCCACCGTATTGTCATGTTGAAAACAAATAGTAATAAAAGTCATTCACGCAAATGATCCAGCTACACAATTTGAGAGGAAAAGTACATATAATGCTACCCAGTAGTAGCTAAGGTTAGTTTTTCACAGCCTTTTAAAGAAGCTGCCCCCAAACCACTTTTCTTTATTCCGTTCATAAAATCATGAGCAATACGATTGTTTATTTTTAAACAAAAAAAATATGTAAAGTCCTTGTCAGAAGGGAAGCTTTTCCAATAAAAATTTAAAATTTTATTAATATTTAAATTATAAACCAAACTTCAGCAACCATATAGACAAACTGTTTACTGTGAATAAACAGACTGTGTGGTCATACTTTCAGATACAAATTCAGAATTAGTTGTCATGAATGAATATAGTTTCTCAGAGGTTAGTTTCTTACAGTTTACAATTCATGCTATGGAAAGTTTAATATAATGTTAAATCATTTATTATTTACCTAAAAGTAAGCTAGAGAAAACTGAATAACAGCAATGAATAATAAAGCTTTAATGGTTCAGTAGTTTTTCTTAAGACAATTTTTCTGTATAGATATATAGATATATTTTGAAAAGATAATACTATTAGTTGAGTTGTACAATCCACAAAAACAACACTTTTGCCAAAGTTTACAGATAAGTTGATTCATTTTGCTTCCCCAACTCCCTACCAAGCAGCGTTCAGAACTGGAAGACTGAAGACAGAGAAGATCCGACATCGAGCATGAAATAACGAGACTGAGAAGACAGCTGAAGATAAACTGAAAAGCCCACAGAACAACGTCAGACGTGGATGTGAATGTGATATCAAACTCAGACTGCGTCCCACAAATGCTGGGAAGAGTTTTCACGCCGAGTTCGATGTAAGGTCTTCTTGTTACAAGGAGAACTCATTACACTGGTTCTAAAAGGACGGGAGATTCATCCATGGTTTGCTGTTGTCTTGTGGAAGATGTCTTCTGAAAACAATGGGAAATTCCTAGGAGATCATTTTAAAGAAATTATGGATTTTTCAGGGAGGGTAATTTTGGGTTATTTTTAAAAACTAATTTTGTCTACATTTTATATGTGCTTTCAAACTTACACAAAAGAAGGAGGGCATGGTAACTGATGCAGGAACTTTTGAAACGCACTGGGGAAGCCCCAGTTCAGCCCTGCCACTCTAGTCGCAGGACTCCAGTACTAACAAGGCCTTTCAACCACGTTCAGTCCTCACATGAACACTCTTGTGATGTGACACATATGTCAGCCTAGCACCCTTAAGGATAAATTCAACCCAGTAAAGTTTTCTAGCCATATTCTAGCTATTGGCATTGTCAATGTTTTGGCTTCTACATAACATTCTGTGTTCACTGACTTGATGACTGAAGGGAAAAGTTGAGTTACTAAAAATAGATGTGTTGCTACTGAAATGTTAAACATGGTATCAACACAATATTTTAAAAACGAAAATGAAAGACTTGGTGAATTCAGTATGAGATCTATTCAGTAATGAAGTTAGATTGTCTAGGGACATTACTATGTCTATACGTTCTTATCTGAGTTCCACTTAGCAACAAACCCTTAAATATATGTTTAGAACTGCACACTGTTGTTCAAATGAAATGTATCTTGTTTCCTGGATCAAAATA